AAGAAACCCTTAAAAATGCTTGAAGGTGGTTGAGGGTTTTGAGAAGACAGTGTAGAAAATACTTAGGAGATGGAGATTTTTACACCTAAGTCTGTTTACCTGATCAAAAAGACAGTTATCTGTGTTTACAAGAATAAGAGTAGGGACATTAATCTTGAGCCGAGAAAGATATAACAGGGCCAAGGGCTTCAAAGTAAGAAATACAGAACACATTTTTAACAGTTTTTAGCAGTTCAGCTGATGAGCCACTAGAAGTTGGTGAGTCCTCCATCTCTTGATGTCTCTGTAGTCAAGATTGAATACCTTTCTTGTTATGTATAAGTAAAATCAATTTACTGGCTTCAGCCAAAGTAATGAGATTGATAGAGGTTATTAACATTGCCTAAATTTAAGGAGATAATAGCACATAATTTTTAGGAATCTTCTCATGTCTCAGTTAGCTTTAAGAAAAGTTAGCTTTAAGAAAAAGCACCTTACAACTCTTTATTCTTGTAGGTGTATTTTAGAGGATGATCATGAGGTCTGGGTTAACAATACAGTACTTTGGCAAATACCCTCTGGATCACCATCTCTGTCAGCTCTTGACTGTTCCATCATTTTGTGATCAGGAATCAGAAAATTCATTTCTTTTAGGTTATTTCTTTATACATTTCAAGGGCAGCTTAAAATTTGATGTTATTTGTGTTTATTTCTAAACTTTGTAGTGAAGCAGGATGCATGCATAGGCTAATTGCTTCTCGAGCTCTTACTACTGACTTACTGACCTGGTTTGTCAAACTTGCTAAAGAGATGATTAGATATATGCCACAGGAATCTGAAAACAAAATCCAACCCACAGAAAGGCAGAATTCAATATTCAGTGCCCTAAATAACATTGAAAGGGACAAAAATATCCCTGTATGTGATTATAGGGACAAAAATATCCCTGTAGTCCTTTACTGATCTACAAATATATAGTTTTTCTGCAGACTTCTTGAATATCAGAAAAAGCATAACAACAAAGATGGACATTTGTTCCAGTAAGACTAAAATTTGGACCTGCAGCTTCCTCCCCAGACAACAGAGAGAGAGAGAGAGCATTGCTACCTCAGAGTATCAGTATTAGATTCTGTGAATTGCCTTGAAGGACAGTTTCTCTCCATTGATAGCAAGGCACAAAGTTGATTTCAATAGGGTGAGTCCTATCAGACTACCTTTGTTTTTCCTTAATGACATTCTATTAGCTGTATTACTCAAGAGATCAGACTAGTTGAAAGAAAATTTGGCCTTTAAATCTATAAATTCTTACATTTATGCTCAGTAAAGTGTTGATCATGGTGTAATCTTGTACAAATGACTGAATCAGTGTTGGTAGTTTGCGTAACAAAACAGGAATGAGCAAATAAATAAAGCATTATTGCCTCAGGCCAAGAAGAGTTTGATTTGTGAAACATTTATTCTTGAAAATAACCTGTACCAGGTGTTTGAGGATATTATGCTTGTTTGCTGCAGAACAGCAGCATGATATTTTGCAAGATACTCATGTGCAACTGCCACCTTGCAGAAAACAGCACAATGTTCTTTAACTGAGCTGTGCCAACTTATTCTAACTAAGAAAGCAACCAGAGTTTATCAAGATTTAGAGGAGTGATGTGTAACTAAGAATCACTGCTAAAGTCATCTGTATGTTTCAGGGAAAATTCTGACAAAGAGATCAACTTGGATGAGAGAACAGGAACTCAAATAACAGTTTGACATATACCACAGAAAGTCTTCAGCTGGAGAACCCAGGGAGGGTGCCTTCTTGCTATCCTTCTAGAGGGGTCCAGGTGGAGAAGAGAGAAGTACTTAACCTCTAGTATTGAAAGGCACTTCAATGTTCTATTCAGTATAGATAGAGGGCTGCATCTTTTAGCCCTAGGACTTAAGAGATATCAGCTGGAAGTGACTTGAATGGTTGAGAGGAAAGCATAGTCCCAGGGAATAAGTCAGGAAACAGTCTTGTGTGCATAAATCCCCTGTATAAGTTGTTAAGGTCATGTTAATATTCTAGGGAAGGACATTTGGGAGGAGATTTTCATTATTGTCATAGCACAGCAGTTTCTCTTTCACCAGAAGCAAGTATTCTTGTTTTCAGTCTGAAGACTTTTAAATTGTACCTTTTGACCTGCATTCAGAATAATTTCAGCTTTTTTCTTACAGACTGTAGATCTGAGAGTGGCTTCTCTGTCTACTACAAATAAAGAAGATTTTTGTCTAAAAGTCAGTGTCTTGTATCTCAGTTCAACTAGTTTTTGATGTGTAGATTTTCTGTCCTTTTGAGAGAATAGTACAGAATGGAATGTATTACCAAATATAAAGCCAGCATAAGCAGCAGTCTTGATCTGTAGTGTTCCTTGCATTGTTCCAGTCTGCAGGAGTTTCAGTGCAGAACATCATGCACTACAAGCTGATCAGTAAGTGGTTTTGATCCTTCCACTACGCTCTTTTTAGCCAACAGCAATGACAAAACAGGAAAGAAGAGTTGTTCTTGTGTGCTTTGCATTTCTTAGGATCTTTAGCTGACCAGCCACAGTATTCATAAGTAGTTGAGATTCACCTTCTTTCACAGCTGTCTTTTAGTGAAAGAAATGAAAATGAACAATCCACATTATGACACAAGGGATAACATCAGGACTGAAGTGTGAATGCTTGCAGCCTGCAGGATGGGGAGGGTGGCTGAGGGCTGTGTGTGCACCTGGGTATGGCAAGGTGTTCTATAATGTGCTTCACCAATTGCAGTTCTCCAAAGCAACCTCTGGTTGCAACCTTCTCTTTTGTACAGTGAAAAGGGAGGAATGAAAACATTCTTTGGGGGGAAATGTGGTGTGGTGAAAAGCTTCATCAGGATGTTTAAGCAGAATGGAATAGTGGGCTGGCATGAAAAGAAAAAGGGAAATATTCCATCTCTCCTGATGTCCCCTACAAAATGAGGGCATTCTGTTTTCCTTTTCCTTATATGATTCTTTAGCTTGTAGTTGACTTTATGCTGCTTTCTATGGAAACTTTTTCTCTTGGTTGTGGTTTGTTTTTTTTTGGTTTTTTTTTTTTTTTTTTTTTTTTTTTTTTTTTTTTTTTTTTTTTTTTTTTTTTTTTTTTTTTTTTTTTTTTTTTTTTTTTTTTTTTTTTGCTTGCTTCCTTGAAAACATTTGTTGCTTTATGATCTTTTACCAGTCTTTCTGAGTTTCAAAGACGTAAGGAGTAACCTGGACACTGAGTGTCTGCATCACTGTGTGTCTGGAATCATAACAGTCAAAGGAAGATAGTGAACCAGCTTGCATTTACTATCCATAGTATAAAAGGAGTTTAGAGATGTAAAATTGTTGCTAAGAGCTACACTTCTTCATTAACTGCCTAATTACAGTTGTTAACAAGTGTGAAAAATCCTGTACTGTTAGATAAAAAGCAACCTGGAAGAGTAAGTTTTCATTATGGAAAAAAATTGATTGGTTGTACAGATATTATTTACAAGTTAGCAAATACCTCCACCAAGGAGCAGTGGAAGTGAAACATTGCCAGTGAACAAAAGCAATGAAAATACACTGGTCTCTTGGATGTGAACTTGCTGAAATGCCTAAACATACTAAATTAATCTTGCATTTAAGAAATAAATTATTAGTTCAATATTAATTAGCAGCAAAGCAAGATTCTGTCTTGATTCACTGCAATAGAAGTTTTTTTGCCAAATATGTACAGGATCTGTTTCACAGGGCCTCATGTAATTGAATGCTGTGCTTACAAGTGCACAAATGCTGTGAGGAATGAAAATTTGTCACTATACTTGACAGAGATAGATAGCCAAGGTTGCTGCAAATATTAGAAGAGTCTATAGTCCCGTTATTGCCTTGCTCTACTCAAGGTCATCAGACCTGAACAGGAGTAATTATCCCAGGCAGAGCATTGGATTAATGGCTGCACTTCTTCTGGTACCTTCATGAGCAGAACTGCAAAGTCTGCAAAAATACTCTTGTGAACCAAAGAGCATGCATCATTCTGAGTAACACCTGAGAATCATGCACATTTTGAGATCAGCATCTTTTCTGCTGTAGCTGTTTCTCTCTCTGACTCTGTCAGGGGCTTTTTCAGATGCTTTCCCCCTCTTCAGTGGTTCAGGCTTCTGGGTTTTATCCTCAGCCAGAAGGAGTCTCTCCTGCCTGCCTATGAGAAAATGGGAAATTCTTGTTCAGTTTCAAGATGAAATATGATAAAGCAAGAATGATTTTTTTTTTTTTTTGCAGAGTTCTTGTTGACCTGGTTTCCAGAGAAGTAGGAAATCAGTCTAAAGCTGTCACAGGTGAAATGGTCAAAATGGAAGTGTCAGGGAGCTTTAGAAGAGGAAGAACATAATGTCAAATGAAGAGGAAGACCCTAATGCCAAATGATGAGAAAAAATATGTAGGGTTTAGGTTTTTTTAGTATTCTATATGCTTTTAGGTTAATTAGAAAAGAAATTGTCAAATGCCATATTAAAGGAGAGAGTACCTATCAAAATGCTTTGCAAAAGTTCAACATTTTCAGCACATTCTGTGTCTGTATTTTATTTTCAGTCTAACTGCTAAAATTATGGCAGAACATTTAAAATGCATGAAAGAAGAAAAAAGATGTAGCTTATTCCTGTTTGGATCAAACTGCATTTCCATGAAAGTCCTCTGGACTGCCCTTGTGACTCTTCTTTCATTTGCTGCATCCTACTCAGATATGGACTAAATTCCTGTAGATAACTTCATCAAATGTTAAGTTTAGCTTCAGCTTTTTCTAATATACACAAAACCTTGAAGAAGGCAGGTATTACTTGGAAATGTGTGTATGTCTCTGTCACACTCCTCAAGGTACTGATTAACTTCGGAGCTTGTACCAGGTCTGAGTGCAAGCCTCATCAAAATGTTCTGTGGTATTGACAATAGGGTGTGCCTTGCACAGTGTTGATGCCATGCTCTATTTATTCTCCTTAAAGAAACTGTGGATTTCATTTTAAATTTTAGGAGCGTCTTCTACTTTCTTTACTGCCTGCTCACATTGCCATGGAAATGAAAGCAGAGATCATTCAGAGGTTACAAGGTCCAAAGGCAGGCCAGCTGGAAAACACCAACAACTTCCACAATTTGTATGTCAAAAGGCACACCAATGTAAGGTATTGTACTGTAATATAATGTATCAACAACATTCAGAAAAAAAAATTGAAAGAAAGGGTTAAGGGAGGAATTAAGAAAACATGTTGTAAAATATGCTTTTCAGCAACGTAATATGTAGCATCCCTTAATTTGATCGAATGCTGCCAGCGCTACATTCCAGAAGAGCCACAAAGGTGTTAATACGAAGGAGTTGTTGAGAAAAAGCCACACAATAATAGGCTTTTTTTCATAATGTCTTCATTTTTCAGATTGCAGTACCAAATCCTGCCTCTGTGTATGCTAGTCAAAATTGTAATCTGTGTCAGTGGTACAATTCAGATTTTGCAAATTTCTTAGCTGAAACAATTTCTCAGGATTTGTATCATGTAAGCAGAGGCAGCTGTATCATATATGTATTTTACACAGTACCTGAGATAAAATATTCTGCTGACAGTTCTAATTATTTATTATTTAAAAATTTCTAGTAGCTGGAAAAAGAAATCAATTTTATTTCAAACATTCTTTCTTCTTAACAAGGTTCTTTTTCCTGGTTTTGTTTGGGGCTTTTTTGTTTGTTTATTTTGTTGGGGTTTTTTTTTATTTTATTGGACAAGTTAGTTTGGATTATATTCTTAGAAATTGATTTGTTAAAAATGTTGCAGGAATTTTGAGGAAGCTCATGTTCTCTTGTGAGCACAAATACTCTTTGAAACTATTATATTGTTATTATTATACTGATGATTTGTGACTTTAAAAAAATATTTCTGTTTTTTCAATCCCGTAACAGATAGAGGTGTAGAATGTTTATGAATACCTATAAATTTAGGTATACCTATAAATGTTATACCTGAGGAGGTAATACCTGTAAAGGTACATATAGGTATATTTTACCTATGAGCACAACACCCATAAAGGCAAATATACATTTACCTATAGATGTAGTTTATATTTATTACTCTACATTTCGTAGTGGCTGTTTTGGGTGTGGGCATATCCCTGGGAAGTCCAGGCACTTGCTTTCAGGTTTTACTGTTGGTTGATGGATCTGAGTGCTGCAGAAAGAAGGAAGCTGTGACCAAGATTCTGCTCCTTTCTGTTGCAGCATCTTGTACGCTGATATCGTGGGATTCACTCGCCTGGCCAGTGACTGCTCGCCGGGGGAGCTGGTGCACATGTTAAATGAGCTCTTTGGCAAGTTTGATCAGATTGCCAAGGTGGGTTGCTGTGGGCTGCTGCTGTTAGTTTGAATAAGAAAGTAATCTTTAAATTTATATTTTTTTTCTTTTTCCTCTTGGGGTCTTCATGCAGCATTTCTGAAACTTTGGCAGGAAGATTGGATTTGAAATGTGTGAAGAAAACGATTTGGCTCTGGTCTGAGTGCAACAGTGCATTTCTGCCAGTGCCAGTCTGTGAAACCCATGATGGCTCTCTAATGGGACCAGTAGAGACAGCTCATGGAGCCCCATAAGGCTTAATGGCAGATGAACACTTCTTTAAATAGATTTTTTGCATTATCAAGGATTAAGAAACTCAAGATAGAAAAGTGTTAGTCAGTTTTCTGGTCTCAGAAAAAGCATTTATGAGACTGAAGGAGAAGAGACACAGTATTGATCAAATCAATTCTAATTACTGACCACAGCCTCTTTATTAATGAAGGAAAGAATCAAATACAATCATAATTTTTTCTTCTGCTTATTTAGGTGTCTTTTTCATAAAATTAAATTAAAATTTTCATAAAATTAAATCAAACTTCATGTGTGAAAGTAAAATCAGAAACCTCAGAATAGATAAAAATTTCCTGTGTTTTTATTTGTTGAAAAATTATTGTCAAGTATTTTAAAAATTAAATTAAATTAACTTTCAGTTTTTAAAAAAAAAAATCTTTACATAGTCTTAGAGTGCAAAATATAGAAATACTATTATGATTGCTAGCTTCTGGAAGCATTCCGTAGTATATCTTCATAGATGTAAATGTGGAAGACTACGTCTTTTGGTTTCATATTTCAAGCAAAAAGGCTTTATTTTGATTGAGGACATGATAGTTTAGCTCAGTTCTTTATTCTCAGGTGTGAACATGTTTTGCAGTGAAATTGCTTCTTGCTTTTGCCCATTAAGGACCGTAATTGTTGGAGGGATCAACCATACAAAACTCTCTTAATGTTTCTGTTATAGCAAACCCTTCTCTACTGAAACAAGCTTTAGTAGAAGGACTTTGCTATTGTCATTTAAGTCAATCTTTTGTAACAGTAACCCTTCATTTATGTATTTCAATTTGAAAGTCACTGTCTCACCTTGCTTTTTTTCCTCCAGGAAAATGAATGTATGAGAATTAAGATCTTAGGTGACTGCTATTACTGTGTTTCTGGACTACCTATATCTCTTCAAAATCATGCCAAGAATTGTGTGAAAATGGGACTGGACATGTGTGAAGCCATTAAGTAAGTACTAAACTTAAAAAAAAATCCTTTAAAACCAGTCCTTCACTAAAATTAGCATGTATAGGTGAGCTACACTTGGCAAAAATATGTATCATGTGGCAGTCTGGATATTTGGGAATCTCCTGTGTGATTTATTTATTATAATAAGCTAGACTTTTTAAAACTTGGTATGCTCTTCTCTAAGTCTAAGTTTCAATTTTTGTGTTTTTGTCTAGATCACATTAACCACTGTCCATGTAGCAAAGTGAGAAATTGGCCCATCCTTGTGAGGTATATGTGTGGTGTGCACCTCATCATGAAATGGATAATTTTGTTGAACTATGTTGATCTTAATGTCTAGTGAGGTAGCCATACAAGATTATTCCTGTAATCCTTAAATGTGTGTAATTGTAGTCACAAGAGGGATTTGGCTTTTAGTTATCTGGTCTTCTAACTCAGTCCAGGGTAATTATGTATGGATAGGTTGACTAAAGCAAATTTGGTTCTTTTCCCTTTTATGTGTTCATGGAAAATGTGTAGTATTTTTGAAAACTAGTATTTTGATCTCCTTGCTTTAGCAATCTTTTGTAAAACTAGCCTCAGTACTAGAATCATGTTGCTGCATTCTCTAAAATGTTGTTTCATCATCAAAAATGGTTGTAACTTACGTAGTGTCCAAAGAAATCTAATTTTTAAATGGTACTTGGGAGAATTTCTCCTTGCCAAGCAAGATAAAAGTCTACAGATTTGGTTGCATTTCAGTTGCTTTCACTGGATGCTCTCTCTTTTTCACTTAGTATCACAATTAAGCCATTTCCTTTTTTAGCATACTAGGAAGTAAAGCTACCATCCCTTCTGTAGAGCAGTTGGTAAAAGGGTGGCAGTCCCAAAGTTGTGGCTGTACCCTTGTTGGTTGGTTTAAAAATGTTGGGATTTTTTCCCCACCCTTTGAGTGAAAATGAGAGCTTTCTGGTTTGCATTTTAAAACATCTCTGTGCTGTGTGAGAAAAGTGAGTTAAAAGTATTTGCATAGAGTTTCTGGTCAAGCTGTTGCTTTGTTACTTAAGAGGAAAAAATATAGGAAACTACAGGGTGGTGGAAAAACAACACTAAACTTGAGCCATAAAGTGCCCTTCACAAAGAACGAAAGTATATCACACATCATAATGCAATGTTTTACTTGAGCTCAGAGAGCAATCTGTCAGTTCCTCACACTTCAGAACTTCCATTCTTCTCTGAAATAACTTTCTGCTCAGGCTGCTGTCAAGTATGTTCATTGTTAATGCTGTGCAATCAGGTTCTTGGTAAGAGCAGCCTTATAGACTAGAAAATTATATGTTAGTTGTAAAGCATATTCTGATCTGACTTTATTGCTGTAGTCAGAAACCACAGTGCTCCCGTAGACAGATGCCTGATTACCACAGCCTGTTTACAGAAGGAGTGAGGAATCTGTACCCTGTGTTTTCAAATCCTTTCAAAGTATTATGTCAAGTGTTGCAGCCTGCAGGTGAACAAAAATTGCTGATTATTAACCAACTCCATATTTTGTTGTGTGATTGCTGCATCTTTGTATAGAAGCATCTCCTGACATACTTCTGTGCCCTGTAAAATGAGGAGTAGTAATACTCTTGCTATTTCAGATAGAGCAAGTCACTCAATATGTTTGACTTGCTCTATCTGAAATACCTTTTTTGTCAGATAGAAATTATTGTTATATTCAGTCACTGAGGTGCAAACTTCCCCCTCTGTGTGTAAGCTGCTGAAATAAAGTAGTTTGCTGTTTATATTAGCAGTTCTATATAGATTTTACCACCTGAATATGGTTTCAGTTCCAGTTCTCTTTGAAGCAAAAAAAGAATTCTGCCAAATTGCCAGGTGATCTGTACTACAAAGTCTTATTCAGTCTCCTTACCTAATGTTGTATAGCTCCATTTTGAGCAATCCAGCTTTCCTATGCTATGGATTGTTCCCATTTAAACATGAATTGTAGTCCCATTGATTAAGCGCTTTGCTTCTCTGCTCTATGTTGGAACAAATCCAATGTTTCTTACAGTCTGCAGCCTGCTTGCCCAGGAGTGAGATGCTCACTTTATCAAGCCATAAATGCCAGTGTTGCCTGTGATGCTGAGAGCTGGGCACCTTAACTGGGTGCTTTAAGGGCACAGCTTATCTGTTGAGGCAAAATATATTTGTGTGTGAATATATGTGTTGTTTCCATTCAGCTCAAGCTCTACCTCCTTGTCTGTCTGGTGACTTCCTTATTTGCATGTTTCTCAGTCACACATTCTCAAAGGTTTCCTTTGATTTGGTAGCATGAAACAAATTCCATTTCAGAGGAAAGTGAAAGAAACTGTTGGATATAAGATGGTTATACCATTTTAAATGCTAGATACAAAATAAAAGAATTCTTTTAGGTATGCTTTCATTCCTGCAGGTCTGATCCAAAAGGAAACTGTGCTGTTGAAGCTGGCAATTTGCAGGGAATTAAATGACTAAGGCTCACTCAATGTGTTAAAGTGTGTAAGAAAGGGCTAGGTGAGTCTGAGATACCTTGGTTCAGAATTATAGATGAATAAAGCTCAGGTAAAGCATGTAGATGCTTTCCTAATGATCTGAACTCTTGCTTGTATGTAGTAAAGTTGCTACAATTATCTGCAATCTAACCACACCTCTGAAAAATGCAGAATGCTCTCAAATTTCACATTGCAATAGGAAAAATACAGTCTTGATGATTATTTTGACTGCCCAACCAGGCTGGGCACACAGACTATGCTGTGCTGAAGAAAACCAGAGACAGGGGGAGCACAAAATGAAATAAAGGTGAGAAGTTTCAGATGTGCTTGTGTAGGTAACGCAGAAGTCCTCTGGGGATGTGATAGTCTGCATTCTTGAATGCATTCAGTGCCTGCATTGTCATAGCAATTGTTCAAGGAGATCAGGAGAGAAGTGGTAAACCCTAATTAGGTCTAGAGTTACACTGGTAATTTAATGTCTCCTGCGGTTTCTTTAATTTGTGAGACAGAAAAAGAGATTCAGTTCTGGTGCAATTCTGTTTGCTCCCCTGCTTAAATCCTGAGAGCTTATTATAAAGCAGGCTTTATTCCGCTTGCTCTTGCTTTATTTTGCAGAGTATGGAAGGGCAGTCTTTTGACAAGCACTCCTAGAGGATAAATTTTCCACTTTCATTTTGCCCAGTATTTTAAAACACTTTTTTCCAAAGTGCTAGGCTTGTGTCATATACCTTGCAGAGCAAAGTGGTGTTTGTGATTTGCAAACTGCTTACAAAGACCATTTACAGGCAGTTCATTTTCAAGTGTGTCAGCTACACAAGAGCAGTGTAAAATGGCAATGTGAAAAGAAATACCAGTAAACACTTGAGAGAGACAGATAGAATTAAAATGCTTTCAGTCATGGTCCTGTTACTTTCATTTCCCAGGAAAAAAACACTTGAGAATTACTGCTTAAATGCAGGATTTACCATATCAAATTAGGCCTCTTGCATTCTATGTTCCCTTTCAAAAAAAATAGAAAACTGTCACATTAATTTAATAATTCAGAAAGTACAGAGCTGATGATTCTTATCACTGAGATTGAAGATGTTGGTAGAATTGTATACCCAATTTGTATACATGAGCCATTTGGTTTCCTTATTCTGTAGTCCTCCATTAACAGCCCAACTTTCTCCAAGTGTGTGTGCACGTTATTTATTTCTGGCTAGGTTTGGGCTCACATCAGTTAGGGTTTAAATACGTAAATCTGGTTAAGTTATAATCTTCCCATTTCTTAGAGCTGTCTAAACCTGTAGATATCTGAATTAGTCTTATTGCTCTTTACAAATGTGGTTAGGGACCCATGTGACATATGTCTGGAAATGTTCTGGTTGTTTGACCTCAGTCACCCACCAATGATTCAGAAGAACTGCTTCTGCAAAGATAATTGCCTATCTTACATGCAGGGCTCTTCTGAGATTTGGGGTGAATGGATGCTTATCTCTGTGACTGGAAAGGTCAAAAGTTTAGATGTGGTCTGGACAGTGAGGGTAGCCTTTCATTCACTGTATAATGTTCTAGAGGGTGCAACGTTCACTAAGCAGGTGGAAGGTTGTTGAGCCTATGTTCTCCACGGCCTGTATGGCACTGAGCCCCTATCCCCAAAGAGTGTACAAGCCCCAGCCTGTGAAATATTCTGAGGTGCTGTGGTTTTTGTCCTTCCTCTCAGATATGGCAGATATGAGAAGGTCTCCAATGTAAACATCGGGGTCTTTAGATAGAAGGGTGCATAACAGTAGTTCCAGACCTCCAAAAGCAGCCTGTAGAACAAAAGCAGTCCTTATGTTCTACCATGAGACTAAACATTTCCACTATTCATTGCAGCCCTCCCAAATAATTTCAGATGAATACAAAAAAAGGAATTTCACACACAGACTTGAAAATTAATATTTCTGCAAAATGTTGCAAATACAGATAATAGGAAAGCTAATATATAATCATAGCATTAGAAGAATGAAGGCAATGCTAAGAAGAGGTAAATGTTATTACTGTTGTTACTGCTACTTTCATAGAATAATGAATGATAGAAAGTTTTGGATTGGAATGGTCCTTAAAGACCATCTAGTTCCAGCTCCCCTGCCATGGGCAGGGACACCTCCCACTAGAGCAGGTTGCACTGACCCCCATCCAACCTAGCCTTGAGCACTTCCAGGGGTGTGCAATCCACATAATTTGACTGGTAAACTAAAGGAAAACAAAGGACCTATTATGTGTATTAACAGAGGCTTTATTCTCAACTGCAGGAAAGTGAGAGATGCGACTGGAGTGGACATTAACATGCGCGTAGGAGTGCACTCCGGGAACGTGCTCTGCGGTGTTATTGGGCTGCAGAAGTGGCAGTACGATGTGTGGTCCCATGATGTTACCCTGGCCAATCACATGGAAGCTGGGGGAGTCCCAGGGTAAGAGTCTTCTTTGTTAACCATTGGACACATGGATTTTTCAGTCATGGAAAAATGCGTAGTCACTGTGTCTTAAGCTATAGGCTTTCATGGAGATGCCTGAACTAATTCTTAGGTGCTGTTTTGAGAAAAAAAAAAAACATAACCAAACAAACAAAACTGGGACACTCAGTATGTACTGTAATTTAAGGAGTGTTTTTTTCTGCATGGAAACCTTCAGATTTATACCCATTAGAACTTCTAAAATTTAGATTAGAGGGACTGCAAAAGAAGAGAGCAGCAAATAAAAGGTGTATCCAAAAGCAAGTAAAAAAAGTTTGATCAGGTTTAAATAAGTATTTATTAAGTATTTACTTATTTTATAAGTATTTGTGACTTTGTCCTTCTTTTAAAATATAATTTCAGCCGTGTTCACATCACCTCAGTCACCTTGGCACATTTGAATGGAGCTTACAAAGTGGAAGATGGGGACGGAGATGTGAGGGACCCATATCTGAAAGAGCATAATGTTAAGACTTACTTTGTAATCAATCCTAAGGTTAGTAGTACTTTTATTTTGTGACCAGTCATACTTGGTTTTGAGCAGGACCACTAATCTCTTTATTGAATAATTCACTACAATAAGATATTGATCAGGGCTGTTACTGATGCCTACAAATATATCATGTTTGCAGTGCAAATATTTCCCGCTCTTCAGAAATAAGTCTCTGATGTTTCCCAGCAATATCATTAAGAATTGCAGGTTCTTAGCATCTCTCCATTTATGAGAACCTAATCATGGAGATCTGTGGTGCCAGATGACGCACTGCTGCTTCAAAAGGTCTTGAGCACAAAGGCTGACATCACCTTTTGTCCTCTGTCAACCAGGGAGAGAAGCGAAGCCCTCAGCACCACATTCGGCCTCGGCATACTCTCGATGGAGCCAAAATGAGAGCTTCTGTCCGCATGACCCGGTACCTGGAATCCTGGGGAGCAGCCAAGCCATTTGCACACTTGCACCACAGGGACAGCATGACCACTGAAAACGGCAAGATAAGCACAACAGTAGGGGTCTACTTATGTCATTTCGTACAATATAGCAATATTTGAAAGGAAAAAGCTGCTCACTGCTAAATACCTGGTTATGTCTGCTAGAAGAAGGTACATGTAGTTGTGCAGGACATAAATGCAGTGAATTTGCTGGAAGCTTTTCCAGTTTTGGATTAGGGTGTAAGTGCATCTCTGAATTCAAAGGAGTCTGGCACGCTTACTAAAGTACAAAATTTGACCCTCTGAGCTCAGACCTCCCACCAAGTCACAGCACGTACAGTGGCTACTCTTCATCTTGTGGAAATATATTTTGGACATAAAGTCAGAATGCAACACATTTAGGAAGGAAATCCTTTAATATGGAGAAATTCCTTGAGATTTATTAGCCATTCAGCTACATTCTCCATTTGGAAGATGGGCAAACCTGAAGCAGAGGCTGTGAAGTTAGAATAATCTCTGTGATACTTTGAGTGGACTTTATTCAGAGTACCGCAGGAACCAAATCCATACTTACTGTAACATCTACCTTTTGAAGGTGCACCTACAAGCTGTGGTTGAAGGCCTGAGTTTTAGAGTACTGTATTTCAATGTTGCATCTTTTACACTGAACAGATTTCTTTTTAATTTTACTAACACTGTTGTGCTGCTATCGGTAAGATACTGACAATCTACAGCTTGTATATTGCACTATCCTCTTCTTCTTAAAAGAGAAAGCATGAAGGTAAATTCTAATAGTTTTCAACATTGGCATTCAGTTTTGTTCCTGTACTGGTGAGACATATTCTTGTTTAATAAATACAGTGCATCAGAATGTGGACTGTGACAGGTTCATTACAGGAAGTACCCAGCCATCACTATTGATCACAAAGAAATGTGGCTGTGATGGCTGCCATTGCTATTAATTAAAAAATGATGGTCATTGTCTGTATTTGGCCATTCAGGTCTGTTTTTTTCAAAACCACTTAAGATTGGTTTTTGCTGAAGCTGGCAAGAGTTTGGGCTACATCCAAAGAGTGGTGACATTGAAGTCCTTGTGGTAAAGCAAAACACTCTTGGATTCAGACTGTTGTATTAGTTTATCCTGTATTTATACTGATAGATGAGTTTTATTCCAGGTTACTCCGTCTTCACTTTTAGCTGGATTTTTCTTTTAGACAGTTTTAATTGAATGCTAAAAGTATTTACACTGGAAACTTTTCTCCTTACTTGACCCTGTTTTCAACACTGTTTTAAAAGTGACTTAATATTATTAAAGTCTAGTACAATTAATAGGGATCTTTTTGTTTATTTGTTTTTTAGGATGTTCCCATGGGGCAATATCATTTTCAGCGTTGCAGAGAAAGGTAAATCAATCTTAAAAAAATTACTTATTCATAGAAAGTCCATATAAATAGATATACATTGGTATGCTTTCAAATATTGAGGGCCATCGTTCATGCAGACTGGTTTTTTTTATGTAAGCACTGATACCTCTTACGTAAAGAAGGCTATGGAAACAGATTTGGCAGACGTGTTTCTCATGAATTGCAAATTCACTTCCTGATAACAAATAGCTTTATTCTGAGTTGGTATGTTGGTGACCTACTACAAACCAGGTACTCCACCAGTGGGAGGAAAATTATATACAGGAAAATTGGGAGGAAGCCCAGAGAGGGGTAAGAAAAGGGAAGATGGAAAGGGCTGTTAAAATTTTTTCTTACAACAGCTAATAATATGTACTAAAAGAGACATTTTGTATATTTGTTTAATTGCTTTGTATTTGTATGGTGGTTTATTATTTTAAAGCCTTTAGTATGTTTGCAGGAGTAGATATTCAAAAGGTATTTTGTGGTCTCTTTTATAATGCTCTTGCTACACAAATGTTTGCAAGATCACAATAGTTATAAGTTTTCCTGGTGTTGCATGGTACCTTGATGACTCGGGCAAGATGGGGATATCAACAATACCGTAAAGTCATTTAAATGAACTTCCTAAAAATTTGAATTGTTATTGTTTCTGGTTACTATGCAATTATCTAAAATATTGCTAAGCTCCAGAAGGTGAAGTTTTGACTGAACATGTGTGATATTAATAACAAGAGTATAATTCTAAAACTGCACATTTATGTTTGGACAGTATGTCCAAAGGCTTTCTATCAGTCAATGAAAGACCATTGGACTGTGGCATTTGGAAATAATGCAGTTCTTGTGTTTGTGTTTCTAAACACTACTCCAGAATAGATTCAGAAGGAACAAAAAAATGTGTCTTGATACCATATCATGGAAGGAATTTCTTCCATTACTGGTGTCTAATGTCCACAGTGAGGCAGACATGTAACTAGAATTCTAGATAAGCTAGTTAATCATTCTCACAGGATACAGCTGCAGTGATCATAAGCACTTTGAAAATCAGTTTTTTATTAGAATATGCAAATGTAGGGTTTGAAGCCTTGACTGTAGGCTTCTGTTTGTGAAAGCCTTAGCTCTTATGCATTATAGCATAGTCTTAGGTTGATAAGGACCTGCCAAGAGGATTGACTGTGTTTGGACAGTGTCTCCTCATCTGTCTATGCATTTCTCCTGGGTTCTATGATTGATTTCTGTGAAAAATGAGTTTTAAGCTCTTTCTTACCTAAATTCACTAGCATTGAATAAGCATGAAATCACTTGTGTTTTTTAAAGTTTCTATAGGTCCACTGTAGCCATGATATTTTATGAAAAATCCTTTGCTAGGATTTTTTCCCTCCTGAGGAGCTGAGGGCCTCAGGAGACAAATGTAAACAATAACTATCTGCTGCTGTGGAATGCAACAGGTGCATCTGTGATTGGGGCATGTTGGTTGTTTCTAATTAAGAGCCCATAACAGATGCAGCTGCATCGGACTCTGAAAGTCACAAGATTTTGTTATGCATTCTATTCTTGTTCCTTCTAGCCTTCTGATCAATCTTTTCTCTCTATTCTTTTAGTATAGTTTTAATGTAGTATTTTAATATAATATATATCATAATATAATAAACCAGCCTTCTGAGAACATGGAGTCAAGTCTCACGTCTCCACACATGGGGCGTTCACAACAGTCCACTAATACAATTTTTGTATTAATTTGAAACTTACAACAGGTTATCCATTTTAGAGAAATAACCCAAAAACTTGATGTTGAGGAAAATTCATGTTCGACTGGGTTCAATTTATAGGTTAAGAATATTTTGGTGAGGAAAAAGTCAAATTTCAGATCTAATGACTTAGAAAACACTGGTTTTAAGTTAGCAGTGGATTTAAGTCTTCAAATACAGACATCACCTGTCAGTATTTGAAAAATGTCATTTTCAAGGAAAGCACAACTACTGAAAGGATTGATGATTGCAGCAATTTATGTTAGCAAAGGTAGACCCATTGTGATGATCCTCTGTTGGGTTCATGCTGAGTCCAATCAAAAGTAAAGAAGTTTTTTTATTGTAGATGAGTTACAAGGCTCATAAATAGAGTAATATTATGTATTCTTGAAAGTAGTTTCAGTCAGCGCTCAGTTTTCTTACTAAAATGAGTAAAGTACTTCCAAGAAAAGAAGAGTTAGCAGGATTTTCGTAGGGGATACCTATTATGCCTCAGTGCACTAACACATTGTGCTCGTCATACAATTCTGACAAGGTTTTTTAGGAGAAAAAAGGCAAGAAAGAGGATTACTTTATGAATTTGAGCATATTCCCATTCTTTTTCATGAATTCATAATGCTGTGGAAGACTTTCTTTTGACCAGAATTTCTTGAGCTCTCTTGGTTTTTTTATGAAATATTTTCTTGTATTTGTATTTACGTGTTCCCTAGCAGCTAAGCTCTAGATTTGTGAGTGTGTGTGTGTTTGTACGTGAGACTGTGGCTTATGATGTTTTTTTAAGAGATTATTATGAGGGTCATTGTGCCTGATGCCTATAGTTGCTATTGCAGTATAAATGTTAAAAATTTATGATAACTCACAAGTTTATGATAACTGTTGTTTTTGACATAACTTCCCACATTTTTCATTTCAGAACAAAATCACAGAAAAGAAGATTTGAGGAAGAACTGAATGAGAGGATGATCCAAGCCATTGATGGAATCAATGCCCAAAAGTATGGCTTTATCCTCTATCCTTTGTTGTCTTTGTCAATTCCAACTTTGACATAAAGCTGCAACAGAGGGCAGTGTTTAATATTTTTTGCTCCCACATGCACACCAAGTCTGAAAACAGTAAAAGTGTTACTAATACTGGCATAGGAAGCCCTGCACATTTTGAAGATAGGCTGTAAAGTAACATTTTCTACTATATGAGATAAGACAGTGCCTGTGAATCATGGTGTGACAGAGGTATTGACTTGTCTTGATCTTCCTGGCAGAGGGAGTTTGGTCTGTAACTGTTTGTCTGTAGACTCATGGCTGTGACTCTACAGATTTATCTTACCTGGGGGCAGAGAAGTAAGACACAAGAAGTGACTGGCTCAGTCAGAATGATTCTCACATCATTCTGATGTGAAAATTGATGCTTCCTAATTGTCACAGAAACAATTCCTCAGGATTAGAAACTTTCCCTAAAACCATAGTTTAATGTCTCTCAGTTAGTTGGTTGGTTTCTTAGAGAAGGCTAATCTTGATGGCATGTTGGAATTGCTGGGTGAAACCTCCTGCCATGTATTTTTTTTCCATGTCCTAGGAAGAGCTGGAGGCAGTATGATGTTTTCCGTTTCCTGGTGAATAGATAAGGCTGGAAAGAAATCAATTCCAGTCCAAAATAAGTGTTCAAGCGTCACATATTTCTCTGATGAAATAAGGGAATTGCCATTTAGAAGTGTGGACAATAATTGTGATGAATTACATGTTTCCCCCCCGCCCCAGTTCTGTTATTCAGAATCTTAATCAGCTGAGTATCACACCTAATTATTAAATGTTCATAAGTCACAATTTGGGTTTTTTTTTCATCTTTTAGTCTTATTAATTTGTATTTGGATTTAGGAAATTTTTTTCAGCAACTAGAAGAGTGTTGACATTTATATGTCATAGAGAGACTGCAGAAAGATAAGAAATTATATATCAGAAAGTCTGAATGTCACCTTCCAAAACTAGACTCTCTTCCTATCTCTGTATTGATTTGCTGAATGAATCTCTTAAAAGCTATGATTAAATTGATTAATGCCCAGGGATAAGTTATGAAAAGTGCTGATTCCTCAAACATCAAGGTAATTCAATAATATTTTAACTCTGTGAAGGCTAAGCACACAAAACAATGTAAATAAAAATTTCCTACATTTAGGACACATTTTTGTTTTCTTTATTATTGTGCATATTTTTGTACCTCAATTTTTCATCTGTAAAATGAAAATAACATTATTAGCTAGAGTGAACAAGTGAAACTAAACAAAAGGTTTTGTGAATCAAGCAGAAAAGTTTTAAGAAAGTCTATGAGAAAACTGGCATTTCTAATTTTTAAGTGTAACATTTGGATTGTATGGCAAATAGGTCTATGACTGAATGAGGAAAATTTAAAAAACATTATTGCAAGAGTGAGTGAAGAAAAAAGAGCTTCTGTGCCTTAGCCATTAGGATGTAACATCACAATTTCTCCATGGGTTTCTTTTCCCTGTATCTTGAACAAAGCACTCCAAGAGCCTATTCTGGACCGGCTGGGGATGGGCAGCCCTAGCTAAGCCATCCCAAGCCTTGGTGCTTAGGGAACTCCTGTAGGACATGAGATGGTGGGATGACCATCTGCTAGCTAAATATGTACCTACAGAGGACTAAATGTGTACCTACAGAAGAGGCTAAAGTAAAGCCAGTTGGTCGGAGCAGGTTGCTATGTTAAAGGGACACGCTCTCTTTGCTCTTTTAAGTCGCAGTGCTGCTACGTTTTGTGCATAATTCCTTGTGTACGTTGTCAAGCAGTACAAGCCCTATGAAACCCCACACCTCTGTGGATACAGGCAGAATTCAGAGGTCTGTCTGTGTTGTTCCTGGAATTGCAAAAAAATTTAAGCCAAACATTTGTATCCAGTTTCCCAAGAGGCATGTTCTCAGGTACTTGCAAATACTTTGGCAATTTCCAGACTCATCAGGGAGTCAGGTTGAAGGCAGAATTTTTTAGCACTTATGTCTGTGCCAAAGGTGTATGACTTTGTGCTCCCTCTTCTGAACTCAGTCTCCACTTCCATTTGTGTTGTACTGTTTCCCTCATCTCAGAACTCTCAGCATCTGCTACGTAAAACCAGTACAGTTCTCTTTTTTTTGTGAACTTTTAAGAAAAACTAAAAGCTTCTGAAAACGTGAGCCTGTAATGTGGAGTATGAGGCAGCACGTGCTCTAAATGGCACTTTTGACTTCACATGCGATCAAGTGTGTAACCAAATTGGGCCCTTGGGAGTAGATCTGCAGAGAGAACTTTTTAGCAGTGTGCTGATGGTAATTAAATCAATCCACCTGTCAGATACCATAAGAAAAAAGAGGAAATTTGTTAACTGTCTGGGGAAGAGGGTTACTTCTTGTTTAATTTTGTAACTAAATGGAAAAAAACTTTCATTTTCACAGTTTATCAAAGTTATTCCGCAAACTGAATGTTTTCTCCAGTAGATTACAGCTGAACCCAAACAAAATCATGCTATATGTACACCAGCCTTTCAGTTCTCTTTCTTCTCAGAATCCTAACTGTGATCACGCATAGATGGGAACCATTGCAGAGCAAAAAGGGAAATATATTTTTGAATTAAGCATTCTGAGAACTGAATATGTTTACAGACCCTTTTTTTAATGCAACTGGTTGCACAGAAACAGGGACAATCTCCCAGGCAAGGAAACAAATATTTTCCATTTCACAAATTAAAGCTAATAGCTTACACTGCACTCTGTCCACTCCTGTTCTCCAGGACTTTAATTTAGGATATGTTCCACTGTGGTTCACTGCTGCTGCTTATTTGCATTATAGACTGTCAGTTGAGACATTGCCTTTTATTTTGAAGGCATTAGCTACACTACTAGTTTAGAGCCTAATTTAAAGTTCTTGCTGGAAATGCTGGAAAAAATCTCAGTCCCTGCTACTGTTGTTCAAGCTGAAGTACTGCATGTCCACAGAACTAATCTGTTTAATTTTTTGTTTTCAAATTTGCATTGTGCCCTTGAGGTACAAGCAGCCAAACCCTCTTGACATTTAAATATTTTATATCTTTTCAAGTGTCTATTAAAATAAATCTAGACTTTCATATTAGAACATCTCATTTTGTTAAAGTTATGTCAAGCTTTTGTCAAGATTCACTTAGTTTAAAAAAAGGTTTGTCATTTCAATGAGAGTATTTATGCTATTTCTCATGTTAAAGCAGGGAAGAAGGTTTTGTAATCAGCAAAAAGATCAAAATCTACCTCTACAGGGCTGTGGTCAAGAGACTGTAACAGTTCAAAGGCAAAATCCCTCCACCTCTTTCAATAATGTTTGTTGTATTTTCATTTGCAATAGGAGTTTGTGAAGTACAACTTACCTACCCACCACTCCTGCATATTGTAAAAGTGCCCTTCCTAAAGGTACCTTGTCAAGGCCTGTTTTTGTCTCAGGTCCTCTTCTGTCCACTAGGTATACTACAGTATTTTTGAGATGAGTGGAATATCACTGAGTTCCATCATATAAATCTCTCTATCCATTCTCCTTAGGCATGATCAACAGAAAAACAATTGTTCATCTGTGTTTTTTTTTCATGTGTGCCTTAGCAGTAGAAGCCAAAAAGGAGATGGGATTTTCAGTCTCCACTTTTACTGTCAGTGAAATTCACCATATACACTGCAATACACGTGAACTTGCTTAATTCCAGCTTATTTTCTTATTTTGCTGCATTTCAATAATAGAAAAGGACAGGACTACTTTCTTCCTGTGTCAGTGATAATGTTCCTTCTCTTTTCTAGGCAGTGGCTTAAATCTGAAGACATTCAAAGGATATCACTTCTTTTCTATAATAAGACTCTGGAAAAAGAAGTAAGTTATTTTCAATAAGTTCAATAAGTCAGGCCTTTTCATTGTTTTATGGCCCTGGGGACCTTGAGTGTATTTCTACTCACTGACAGCTTCAGCAGGAGGACTGGGGAGTTGCCTCTTTCTGCTTTCTCATGAGCAGCTGATGGCAGCTGGTGGCTGAGCAGCTATGCTTTCCTTTGGGGAAGTAAGAGGTGGGTCGGACCACAACTGGCTGTGTAAATTGATGAATTTGGTGAGGAAGGGCTAAAGGAAGTATTGCCATGCTGTGCTCACACTGTCCAGCAAGTATCCTCTGTGTCCCATGTGGTGGTTGAATACATACTTAGCTATTTTTGTAGATGTCTTTCAGTTGAAGGCATCCAAAAGGTTTTTCAGATTCTTTCATAGCTCTGCAGAATAGTTGGTACGGCCATCTGACAAAGGCATGTGTTGCTTGGCAATGCATTAGGGTGGAAAAGGTTTCAAGGCTCTTTGAGCCTATTTTGAAGACTTCCTAAGAGAGAAGAAGCAAGGCCTGGTGTGGTCTCATCCTTAGTGTTTGGGGTCACTGACTGGATCAAAGCTGTGCCTGGCAGCACATGAGATTTTAATGTGGTTGTTACTAACCAATGAATTCTGAAAGAGAACTTGAGAGAAATATGTCATTATATGTACTTTGGACAATGACTAAATTGGAGCTAAATTGTCACAATAGGACACGAAATAACGACACGCATGCTGGAACCTCCAAGGTAAAAAAAGAAGGAAGTTTATTTCTCAACTTCCATATGTATAGAATTCCAAAATAGACTCTGGATTGGAGGATGAAATTGCCACCTCTCCAAGGACACTGGTCAAACCAACAGTCCATCTAATTTCTCCTCCTCCACAAAGGAATGCAAAAACAATCATTATTTACATAAAAGAGCATGAGAAACTCCATTGCAAAAATGTAAACATCAGAAGGCTTAGAAGAATTTAGAAAAAGAGGGTGACATCAAGTTATTTGGCTGAGTCAATGCTCCCAGTGGAAGTCCAATATCTTGATGCAGAATGCTGAGGAACAGTAAAGAGCTAATTGTTATTTTTGGATCCAGCTTTTTAATATCTTTTTTTGTCACCCTTTAATGACTCAGAAGTCCAGTCTTGGCTTTAAAGAACTTAGTAAGAAATCTGCTTTTGATTTAAACAGAAGCTTTTCTGGCCCTATGGGACATGAAAGTACAGAAAGATAATAAAGCAAAAAAATTGTTTAACCTAAGTAGTGAATTGCCTGCCTTCATTAGGAAATGCCTGCAGAAGTGTTAAGCACTGAAACAAATTTAAAATTAGATTGGAATTCTGTAAAATTTTAATAACAGCTCAAGGTTCAAAATTGTTGAACAGGACCACTACAAACATAATCGACAAGTGGAAGAGCAGAACTTGCTGCCAAGGTCCCCATCAAGCAAAGACATATTTGTGCCTCGTAATCCAGTTAGATAAGTGATAAGAATTGCTTTTAATTTGTCATACAATTCAAAAGTAAAAAAAAGATGTTGTGTTGCAGAAGTGAGTTTCTACATATTCATGTAAAGTTTGGTGCACTGGTTTCATAGGCAGAACTTGGCATTAAGCACAGAGACACAGCTGTGTGCTTGCAGTTGGGAGGCACAGCTCATGCACTTTCCATTTTCTGAAGTTTGCATCTCCAGCACTTTGTGAAAATAATCTTTGGGGGTTTTTTCTTAGTAATTAAATATTGAACTTTTATCCTTTGAAAAAAAAACCAAACTAGGATAGAGTAAGTAACTTTAATAGCTACTTAGATCATTTCCCTTTGAATACTTAATTGGTTTCAACCTAGATATATCTATCTCAAATAGCAGAGCAACTCTGATAACTATTTCATTGCTTAATTCTCATGTCTCTAGACAGACTAATTAGAGATAAATAGATTTTTCTCATGACAAAACAGATCAAATTGACTCTCTCCTAAGAATATCAAGTGTTTTGTAGTAACATAACATTAGTAGTGGACATATGAGGCCTTTTAACAAAGACATAAAATATTTTAATTGAAGTAATAATATAGGTTCAGTAAATATCAGTGTGCTTTCTAGCTATGCTCTGTAGCACAGCTTACACTTTGCTACTTTTTGTGCTCAGAAGTTTCCTGTCTAAATTAGTATTGCATATTTTGTAACTGTTTCAGCCCATTCAGTATTTGTCAATAATTGAAAATTGGTTTGAGGAATTAATCACAAAGAATTTTGTAATCTTTGAAGAATGCTTGGCCATTCCTAAAAATATTTTAACTTATGCTTTAACTTTTTCTTTTTGATGGGGTTTCTTTTGGGGAGGGGGTGGGGGGAGGGGAATTTTTTTTGTTAATTAAACTTTTTATATTGAGTTTGGGATATTGAGTTCAGTGGAGGAACAAGGCAAAACCATTTGACATGACTGTTCTTCAATAAGCAGAAGTATTAATACTATTTCTGATAATCCCTAGCCCTGTGTGAGTGGATGTGAAGTCACTGAGGAACAGAAAATTTACTGTTGCTAAGAACTGCCTTTACATATGTGCATCTTTAAGCTGAAAATTCACTTGGGTTGTATTTTACCTGCTTTGGCAATTGTGTTTTTAACATTTGCTTTTATTTTCTTCTAGTATCGAGCAACAACTCTGCCTGCATTCAAGTATTATGTGACTTGTGCCTGTCTCATATTCTTCTGCATTTTTGTTGTACAGATTCTGGTGTTGCCAAAGTAAGTGGTATTTAATGTGTACTTATTCCTATATATATTTGCTCATTAGTGTAAAAAAATATATTTAAGTAAAAAAATTTGTAATTGTTACTTTACATATGTTAATTCATGGAAATTAAATTGAACAGAAAAGACCAGGGATTTCAGCCAATTTTCAAAGTTAGGCTTCTTTCTAATTTTAAACACACTCAATAGTGTTATGTCAAACATTAGTAAAAATTCTTTATTCATTTTAGTTTCTCTTTTTGTATTTAAAAATAATTTAAAAATAATAATGTGACAGTTGGACATTAGAGTGAGACAAAATGGATTATAGAGTTGGCACTGTGATAAATCATTGTATTTAAATTATGACTATGATAATGCTGCTATACTGAGTATGGAAACAGAGCATTAATAACCATAAAGTGCACATTATAAAATTAATTTTGGAATATTAAAATCCATTTCTGGAATAAATCTTTTTATCAGAATTTATACATTATGAGATGATTTATATTTGTACTTGTTGTAGAAAGGCTGAAAACTGGAAGACAATTCCAATATAGGATGTTTTATTAGACTTCTTAAAATTAAATTTCATGGTTGATTGTTTACACAGTGAAAAGTTGGGTTTTGTTTTATAGCAATTGTCTCTAAAGCAAACACTTCATGTTCCCTGTCATACAGTAATTCTTAACTCATAATCCTTTCTCCTGTAAAGTACTTTCAAGATTATTATTTATAACCACGGTTGTGTGATTGGTCTTATTCTAGTAGTATTTACTCACATTTTAATTAAAAGGCAGAAGGAAGTGTTAGGAAATTATAGATTGACTTTCCGTACTGCAGACTTATAACATGTATAAAGTTTTATGGACTTCTATTCAGATGTTACAGCAGCAGTTTTCCAGCAAATTTCTCAAATGGAGGCACAAAGCAAGGGACACTCTTCCAAGAATTCAGCAGTATTCTGCACATGTTTGAGTGTGACTTTGGGCATTATTAAAAATATGAAATTAAGACATGGTAAATTTTATTTTACAAGCTCATACTGTATTTTGATAAGTAATATAATAAATTCAAGGAAACTCATGTTTTGCCACATCCCAAAAGCCAAAGGTGGATCTTACTGCTCCCAGCCAGCAGTATGATTTTTTTGGTTTTTATTTGAGTAATGAATATTAGTCTAGATTTATCATCTCTCTTACATGTGGTCAGACATTAATTTTGCTCTATCCTTACTATGTTGCTTAAACCAATTCTTTATCTCATTAAAATCGATCAGAATATCAGTGAACTCTAGGGAACTGTATTCAGCTAAGGCAAATATCCTCCAACTTGCTGGTATTTCTGGTATTTCTAACATCAGAGCAAAAGACACTTATTAATGCTTTGTCATTTTCATTACCAAAATGTTAAGTGTCTTATGTTCCTTTTATAGGGCTGCATATTGAATTGTAAAAGCAAAAGTGTAAAATCAGGTATTACCAACATTAACGGTATTCAGCTTCAGGTGGTCTGTGGATTGTTTTAATAGATGCTAAAATGGAAGACAGAAAGGCAAGGTATTATACAGGCACCTGCATCTTTTCTAGAAAATTAGGAGCATTCCAAGTTAAAAACAACAACAAAAACAAAAGCTGAAAAACCACCAGCATATGTAGTCATCACAAATGCAACATAAATTGAACATACTCTGATGCTGCAAATGTTGTTTCCTAGTAAAATTCTATCTACCCTTTTTGTTTTCTTGCAAAAGTTCTCCAGGACTTTTAAATGGTGGTCTAATGAAGACAGGGAGACGAACTAAATCTGTCACTGGGTTTTATTGATTCACTATTCCATTAATCTGGTTTTGCAGTAGTGTAATATCATTGATTTCTGTGCAGGCACACAGCCTGCTACTTAAAAGTAGATTTGGAGATATTTGAAGATGGATAACATCCAGCAAGTTTCAAGTACTAAATAATTTCTTCAAGATCACCAGACATTTTTCCAAGGCTGGAAAAATTTATTAATGTCTTAATTTTCTTGGGGTCAGTAAAGTAATGTGGTGTTTTAATAACAAGCTTTACGCAAAGTGGTAATTATAAATTTAATCAAGAAAACAATATCTTGGGGTGGAATGTATGATGAGGAGTAGGTCTTCATTGGCATTAAATGAAAGCAAATCTTTATCACTACATTTCCTTGGAACAGGCCTGCTCTAGTAGCTCTCTAGAATTCTTGGTTTACCAAGTGAGAGAAGTATGCCTATTAATTCACAGCAACCCTATACTCTTTATTTAAGCAAACAGAATTGGTACTAGCATGGAATTGGTAGCACTGGTTTTTTGGAATACAGACTGGTGAATTGATGAGACTATATTTCTATTGAACAGGAGATACTTCTTGTAGTATTCAAGTAAGGGATTGTATTTAGGCTACATTTAAGATTTTTCCCAAGTCTTCACTCTCTGAGGCCATTGTGTTCAAAAAACGATGTCCTTTTTTCCTGAGTCCTGCCAAACTAACAGGCATGGTTAGGAGGCCTTCACATTATACTTTTGATCAGGCACAACTGAATTTCTTCATAGGAGAGGTAGTACTCAGAAAGTTTGTCCGAAAGCAGGCACAGAAGATATGAGATGGTATAAGTGAAAGGAAACCATTATTACTAGCTATTTTTCTTCTGTATTCAAACAAACAAACAAACACCAACAATTCAAGTGAAATTATAAAACTGAACTGATACTGTTTTAACATTGAAACTGCCATACGGTCTCCATAGCTATTGAATCTTTTGATGGCTTAGTGAAAGTATCAATGCCTTTAAGAAATAAATAGCTACTATTAGATACCAAAAAAGTCTGAATTCAGTATTGGCTTGTGTAATTGTCAGTTGCAGTGGCTTCATTGTGATTTTATCACCTCAAGAGAATTTGCAGTCCTATCACTCAGAACATGGATAACAATTATCTACAAGCTAATTCTCTGCATTAAAGGACATGTGCCAAAAGTCACATCTTTTCCTAAAAGTTACAAAATTGTAGGAAAAAACCACATTCTTTTCTTCATTTTTCAGTATTTTTATCTTCACCAATAAATTTCTGATTTTCAGTAAATAGTTACCAATGAGATATACATAAATATAATTTTTTTCAGTCTCGTACCAATGTTAAAAATGAGTTGTCCAAAGCAGATATTTCCTAATGAAACCAGAAAAATGCATGTTTAGCTAAGATCATTGATTATTTAGACATGGAGCCACCTGAAGCTTGAAAAGATCTCCTATTGTTTCCTCACTTTCAAACTGTCCCTCTGTTATTTATGGTCAAGGGTTGTCCTCTTTGGGTTTCTGGTGGAGGACTGTAGCAGAGAGCAGAATGAGGTCATTCCCTGGAGCATAGAAGAGACAGGTAAAAACTTACCTGGCTTATGCAATTTCAGGTGCTCCTCTGACTAAATATTTTGCCCAAATCTGCCAATGCAATGCATTTGGTAACTCTACACAACAAAAGCAAGGTTAGCGTACTGTAAAGACCTGTACTGGTTTTCTAATGTTTCAGCGACAAGAAAGTAATCATATTATGGCTTTCCTATGGTCATTGCCTCAAATGAGACTTGTTTATGGTGGCACTTAATTTTTAGCATTTGGCTTCTCTTCATGGTGTTTTCAGCCCACTTCTTTCCTTCTAGGAGCAGCATGAAACTATTTTGTCTTCACTTAAGTGAAACAGAATTCTTGCTCTTCCCAGAAGAGAAGGGTGTATGGGGAGCAAAAATACTACCGGGTTTTTTTCTCTGTTTTCACCACTCAAATCTGGATTTTAAGATACCACTTTCTATTACCTTCCGTCTTTTTGTCCTGTTCACCTTGCTGTGTAATTCTTGTGCTCCCTCAATAACATCATTGATTATGTGAAGCTGCTACAAAGACCTTTTGTTCTTGCCTGTTGCCCAGGAGATTAAGTGCTCTTTGCATAAGCTCTCTTTATGCCATATTAATTTTATTTCCCTTGCTCTCCAGTTTCTCCAGCATCTTCATTTCTTCTGCTAAAAGGCTGCACTCCAAACTTGACTGATAAGGCTGTTCTTGTGTTGAGTCATTTCTTAAGATGTGGCGGCCCCTTTCTTGTGTTCTTCATTTCAGAGAAAGAATAGTTATATTTTGAAATGTAGGAAAGGTTCTTTGAATGTTAATTAAGGACATATAAGATTGGAAGTGTTTATACATATGTAAAAAATAAACCTGTTTCTTTTCTAACTGGCTTTGTTTTTAGTTTCCTAGTTGTTTTTTTTTGTTGTTGTTGTTTGTCTTTCATGTCTTCTGTTGCTTATGAGATTTTCAATTAGTAGAGACTAGTTTTAATGCTCTGATGTACAGCTTATTGTCTCAGTCACAAAAATCTTGAAGAACATGTATTCATAAGCAATAATGATCATCAAAAGACTTTTTAAAGAAATATTATTTCATGATTAATATATGTTATGAATTGCCAGTTGTTTGTTTTTCATCAGCTGTGCTGATGCAGCCCAAAATCTGATGATTAATATTTAATATATAACAAGTTCTCTGAATGATTGGCAGGGAAGCTCATCAATTACTCTCCAAAATGCTTTTAATGGCATCAGATTGGTTGATGTTAATGCTTTTTTGTTATTTCTTGAAAATATGTTGTATAACACTGTTGTTAAAACAGATGAAAATGTTCCAAGTTCTCTGAATGATTGGCAGGGAAGCTCATCAATTACTCTCCAAAATGCTTTTAATGGCATCAGATTGGTTGGTGATGTTAATGCTTTTTTGTTATTTATTCAAAATATGTTGTATAACAGAGATTAACTGTTGTTAAAACAGATGAAAATGTTTGAAACTGGATCATCTGAGAGGTTTCATTATTGTTTGATAGATTGCCTTTTCAAATTTTTTTTTGCTATTGTGCCTACAGGAGGTGACTCATCTTATGATTGCTTTAATTTGCAGGACTGTGTATTTGTTTAAGTATTGTATAAGACCATTTTCTGAGTTTAAAGAA